TATCATCATGATGTTAGACGTTACCCATAGGAACGAAAATTATGAACAAACATTAGAAACCCCCTCCTACCACCATGAATCTTGACAATGAGAAGGCTGTAATTTGCAAATTTCATAAGACATATTTAAAGCACCACAATCAATACTCAGCTTTTAATCTGTTCTAAATATAGATACTGTTCAGTGGCAGGAACTGTATAAAGGCATTGGTTTTGTCAAGGGTTTTATCAGCATGTGGGATAGGGAAACAATATTTAAAAATACTCCTCTGAAAGAAATATAAGCACACCTAATCAACAGGTTGGGAACTTCCTCTCCTTAAAACAAACAAAAAAAAAAGTAAAATAAAATTAAAAAGGCTAAAAGTTTTTCCTTCCTCTTAAGTGGAGAAACCTGGGACTATAGCAGATATTTCTTGGTTCCCATCTTTTTATCACAGTCATTCCTTTTTAGTGGTGCGGGATACTGTGCTCATAGTCTGAGGATTCAAAATCCCTGCTATAGCCTTTCAGCAATGCTACTATCTAATAGCTTAGAATGTAAGGGAAAAATTTCTTCCTAAAATCTCACCTTTTGCTTTCAGTTATTTAGAGGTAAAAAACCTGACCCCCCTAATGCTTTGAAAAGTGAGTGTTCAGACTACCTCCTGTATTTCATCATCAATAAGATACTCACTCAAGACATGTTTGTGAGTTTGGAGTGAAAATGAGGTTAATTGCCAACATGGTGTTAAAGAGGCATTTAAGTAAGTTTATCTCATAGTATAAAAATAGCCTGAGAGTTCGGTGTTCATCATTATGACCAGCCGTACCTGAAATACTCTAAGAAAAAGGAAGATACAGAAACAGAAAATAAATGTCCCAGTGGAAGGAAAAGACAGAAGTAGGAATTAAGGGGGAAAAAAAAATGAAAAATAAAAAGAAAGAACTATTGACAGGTGAATCAGCTCAAGTCTTCCTGGAAGATCCAGAAAAATAGAAGACTAGAAGTTCATATATTGATCTCTACAACTACCTGAAAGGAGGTTGTAGGGAGGTGGGAGTCGGTCTCTTCTCCCAAGTAACAGGTGATAGGACAAGAAGAAGCAGTCTCAAGTTGTGCCAGGGGAGGTTTAGATTGGATATTAAGAAATTTTTTTACACTGAAAGGTTTATTAAGCATTGCAACAGGCTGCCCAGGGAAGTGGTTGAGTCACCATCCCTAGCAATATTTAAAAGACGTGGTGCTTAGAGATATGGTTTAGTGATGGTTTTAGTTGGTTTAGTGTTAGGTTGATGGTTGGACTAGATGATCTGAAAGGTCCCTTCTACCCTGGGCAATTCTATCATTCTATATATAACATAGTATGTCAGATTCCAAGTGTCAAGACTGTACTAGCTGTTTTTTAGCAAAGGAAACTCATAGCTCCATCAGCTAGTTGGCTGGTTGGAACATTTGCTGATCTTGGCAGTAATTATTGCAATACTTCTGATCTGAGGAACAGTGGGACCAGCAAGAAAATGAGTGTGCTTATGTCCCAGGGGAGTATTTACAGCACTGTTTCCCTGCATTCACTTCTATTTCACAAACACCACCTTTTCAAAAAAGGCCCCAACGGTGGCTAGAGAATCCAACAGTTAGTTTGTCCACAGCTGAATGGAGATTAGTCCACACTTAGAGAAAGTTAGTAGCATCTATTTTCTCTCACTCTTAAAATGAAAATATTAACAATGTGCAACTGTTTCTGTATGAATTACCTGAACATTTATGTTTTAATTTAGGGACATGGCTGAGAAAACAAACATTGCATTTTACAGGCACTATTTGTTTACTTGCTTAATCTTGAAATCAGAATCAAATAAAAGTATTCTGACTTATTAGATACAAAGAATCTCTGCATTGTCACTGTGTGCCATGAGGTTTTTTTTTAATGAATATTTCTGCTGCAGAATTTAAACTTTCCATATCAATCTCAGTAAACATAATTTACACAATAAAGAAAATTTCTGCCAACATGCAGGTACCTTTTTCTGCCATTTTTAAAACCAAGAATCTCTGTACTCCTGTCCAAAAGCTACTTTGTTTAAAAATAGTTCTCATTCTCTCTATATCTATATATCTATATTCCTATAAAGAAGCTTGAATTAAAACATTTTCATTAAATTAGAAAATTCTAAATGACAAAATAAAACTTTGTATTTTATACTTACTCATAAAAATACATTTTGCACTAGACTTTTTTATGAAATGTGTTATTTCAACTTTTACGCAGACTTAATCTACAATATTTTTGACATTTTTCATGTTACCATTAGAGCACTCGTCCAATTATTTTTAAAATCTGAGTAAAGTGAAATACTGTTTTTCAAAGAAAAAAAATCAAGGTATGTTCTCCAAAAACCCAACTGTTTTTTATTAAAAATAAAAATAAAAATCATGTTTATTGTACCAAATATCAAAATATTGTGTATGAAATATTACCTAATATTTAACTAAGTATTAGTCAAAAAGATTCAACATCCAAAAAGCGAAAGGGTAGTAGACTAAAATTAGCAAAGGTGAAGATGGTCTTTGGAATAATCAAGTAAATTAAAACTGTATATACTGTGCGATAGGAAAAAATGTAAGTTCTTAAAATACACCACTGGATACTGTATTCATTGTATGTGTCAAGGTTTTGGTATTCCCCTGCAACTCCTGGAAAGGGACCACAATGGAGCAGGTATTTACACACAGTCTATAGAGAAGACCATGCCAGAGCAGGCATTCATGCTGTAGCCCGTGGAGGTCACCCCCGCTCCCTCCCTCCCATGTAGGAGCAGGTGGATATTCCTGAAAGAACTCCGGCCCACACCAAAGTTTTTTTTTTCCTGAAGGATCACAGCCTGTGGGAAGAGCCTAGGCCAGGACAGGGCATGTGAGAGGGAAGGAGTGGCAGAGAGAAACCGCTATGTATTGACCATACCCTTGTTCCTCCCCGTGTCGCTCAGGAGGAAGGTGGGGAGAAATCTGCAGTGAAGGAGCCAGTTGAAGTCTGGGAGAGTGGGGTCTTGCTTTACTCTTTGTCTTTTCTTCTCACTTCCCATATCTGTTTTAATCAGCAATAACTTAAATTAATTTTCCCAATGTTGACTCAGTTTTGCCCACTACAATAGCTAGTAAGCAATCTCCCTGTCTTTATCGCAACCTACAAGTGTTCTCATCCTATTTTCCCCCCCATCCCACTGAGGAGGGGGAGTAAGCTAATGGCTGGGTGGGCATTTGGCCCTTAGCCAAGGCTACCTCACCTCAAACGTATTCAGTTTCTACATTATGTGTTCACCATGTCTTTGCTTACATTCACTTCCTCCAAATATAACATTAATTCATATTACAAAGCAAATGAGTGTTAGAAGAATTAAAATCAATTGTGATGTGCAGGCTACATGGTAAAAACCAACATAATAATATAGGAAAAAGAACAGCTAAGGCTGTTAAAATATCCTGTCTCAAAGCAGTAAATAGGAAGCAGGTCTTTCTGTAAATACTATCATAGAAAGTAATCTTTTAAATACACACATTCAGCAACACATGGTCTCCAAATTGTGTGATATAGAAATTGTCACTGCTAACAGTAATTTTTAGTAATCAATTCCAAAATCAAGTAAATAAACTTCATCTCCCATAATGTGAAGGCTGTTCCAGTAATAAACATCAATGGATGTTTATTTGGATAACTAAGTACCAGAATAGTACTGTGACTACTTCAGTGTCCCTCAAAATGCCTTTAAAATTACCTGTTGATGTATTGAGTGTATTAGTTTTCCCCACTGGTTGTGTTTCTGGTGTATTATAACAAAAATTATATATAACAATATATATTGTTTTTTATATATATGTTATATATATAACAATATATAACTGAAAAGCAAGAAAGTAAAGCTAGAAACTTGTACTGACAAACATGGGATTAGTTTTGAGTAAGAAACATGAGGAATTCTTCAAGACAAGGGATAGAACCTACAATTTTTTACGTATTTCCTTTTCCTTGTTCTTGATATTTCTCTTTAACACTTCTGCCCCTGCACTCCTTTTTTGTCCTTCCCACCCTTTTACTTTTGTTAGCAAACCGTTTCACTTTGATATAACATTTTCCAATTTGCCTAGGGTATATACACCACTGGCTGTGTTGAAAACGTGGGAAACTTCTGCATTGTTCATAGGTAGTAAGTGCTGTCAACAGCAAACTTTATAGCAGACAAACATTAAGATTCTTGTCAAAGAAGTCTCTAAAATAGCAATGTATTAAATACAGAATCACAGAATTTCAGAATGGTAGGGGTTGGAAGGGACCTTCTGGAGATTATTTATTTCAATCCCCCTGCCAAAGCAGGTTCACCTAGAACAGGTTGTACAGGAACACATCCAGGTGTGTTTTGAGCATCGTAAGAGAAGGAGACTCTACCACCTCTCTAGGCAGCCTGTTCCAGTGCTCTGTCACTCTCAAAGTAAAGAAGTTTTTCCTCATGTTGAGACGGAATTTCCTGTGTTTCAGTTTGTTCCCATTGCCTCTTGTCCTGTCATTGGGCATGACTGAAAAGAGTGCCTCTTGGCACCCATCCTTTAGATATCTGTAAGCATTGATGAGGTCCCCTCTCTGTCTTCTCCAGGCTAAACAGACTCAGGTCTCTCAGACTTTCCCCATAAGAGATGCTCCATTCCCTTGATCATCTTTGTAGCCCTCCGCTGGATTCTCTCCAGTAGTTCCTTGTCTGTCTTGAACTTGAACCACGGAGCCCAGAACTGGACACAATACTCCAGATGCGGCCTCTCTTGATGCTGGCCACACCCTTGTTAATGAACCCCAGAATACCTTAACATTGTGTTTCAACTACTTAGAACTTGTTGCAAATTAGCATAAATTTATATGGCTATGTAAATCTTGCTAAATCTATGCCAGCAGAATAAGGATACTAAACAATTAATACTTTAGACAGATAACCTACATAGCATAACATAGCAGTGTATCTTCTCTGCATAACATCTCTCTGCCCTGACAGTTGTGACACATCACTGCTACGCATCTTTTTCACTGGATGATAATTTTGACATTTATGTTGCCAAAAAAATATTCTCTGGGGGAAAAAAAAAGGCAAAAAATAGGCAAAAAAAATTTCAGTCAGCTAAGGCTACCAGAAAAACAGGCAGAATTTTAACCACTGCCTGTGAAACTGAGTATCTAAGACTAACCCAATAATGCGACAGGCTGGGGTTCCGCTACTTGAAGGCAAGTTTCTGATGGTCAGCAAACTAAGATTAATGCCTTTTGAGAACGTAAATCCTCAAACACAATCTTTAAGAGGTTTTTCAGGTAACTCTGTTAACCCTAATTCATCGTGTCTGTGATCTTTATTCCCCTACCCCCACCTTCCATAAGGTGGCAACCCTAAATACATTCTTGTCGGAGTGGGAGACGGACCCGGAGTAATGATGTAACCTCAATATGAGTATGATCATTCTCCCTTTATTCATGTTTTTACAAAGTATATATAGACAGGCAAGCAGAGCACGCGCTAGCGGTAGCTATACGATTGGCTTACTATCTCTGTTCACGCGACTAGAGCGCTCACACAATTGGTGTAGACCCCTTGTCCACGCGCAGCAACATTCTCTCATCTTCTGGATGCGGTCCCGTTTATCTTATCTACCAAGTAGCTGCTGCTGCTTACTTCTGCTTTTCCCAGGAGAGTTCACGGTCATCTCCAGGCCTTTATCTACATCAAAGACTGGGTTGCTCATCGCAATAAAGTCGTGGCCTTTTTCACACAGCCATTCCTCCACACATTCTCTCTGCTGTGTTGCGTATTTGGAAAGTGAGTCTCATCTCAGAAAAGTCTACATAAGCCCTTACTCCCGCTACTTCATCTCTCGCAATATTTTCTACTATACTAGTAAGCCTGCTACGAGGAAAAGTTGTAGCATTGTGAGTCTTAATTTAAATAGATAAAAACAGCTGTCATAAAATATAACCAACCAAGGGAACGGAAAAAGAAAATAAACATTCTCACATTCTAATACTAAGAAAATGTTTCCATTAGACAATCAAAGAGCAGTCTCCCATAATTCTTATTATGTCTTATTTCACTGTATCTTATAAATTCATGTAATTTTAAATTAAAGATTGTCAGGACTATGTCATGGACTATGGTGACAGCTGATTCCCTTTCAATTGTCTCGCAGTCCATAAAGTAGATCTTTATTAACATACAAAATAGAAAAAAAAAATTGAACAGCTTATTTCTGATACATTTTATCTTCAAACCAAAGGGATCAGGAGTTATCAATAATTGAATGATGACTTGGATTTTTCACTTTTATATGGTGTGATTAAAAATACTTTGAGAATAGTAATAGATATACATGGCAATTCTTTTCACAAGCAGCTTAAACTTTATTTGTCTCTGTGTTCTTGTGTGCAAAATAGCAGCAGAGGTTCATGTCCTGAAAGTCAAAGGAGAGTTGTGTTGGGAGTATATGTTGTGTATATTGTGGGGATGTCACTTGTTTGATTTGTTGGTTTTGGTTTTTTTGGAAGGCTTACCCCCTACTCCCCTCCCTCTGATTACAAGAGTCTTTCTGGTCTCTTTTTTAAAGACTACTGGACTAAAGTTCAATGAAGTAAATGCCAGAAACTTTTGACCACTGATACATACATAAAACGCTGGATAGCTGAGCTTGTTATACCAGATTGAGTCATTTTACTTGATTTTGCTTTCAATCAATACCTCACTTACTTAAATAATTTTCTTGTAATCTATTGAGTTTTAAACAGGGGAATGTTACCAAGCAAAAAAAACCCTGTATCTGATTTCTCTGGGTTCAATTAACTACCATCTGCACAGAGAAGGGGACAGTACTTTACACTGACAGCAGACTACATGAAATGAATTGTGCTGTAGGGTGACAAGCCATCTCCTGTTCAATTCTTGTTCTATAAAGAAGTCCTTTCAACTCTTCATACAGCTGCTTATGAGTTTCTGTCATGTGTTCACTTTGTGATGGTGACAAGAAATCAAACAAAGAGAAGCCAGGTCTCTCATACCCTTCAACATCTTCTTGCAAACATGCTAGTAATTACAGACCTATAAATATAGAAATATGTCATTATGCAGACCTATGGATAACAAAAGATATCAGGATTCTAACTTGTGGAAAATGTTAACTGGAAAGGAAATGAATATTCACCCAGACACTCAGCACCCAGTACACACAATTCCAGAATCCATCAGAGTTTTGCCTTTGACTTCTGCAGGGACAGGATTTTCTTGACATGCCTTTATTAATCTTGCTATAGTTCTGCATGAGGGCATGGAATAATCTTATACACACATATTTCTGTAGATTGGTTCTATTCCTTAGATCTCTTTATGCAGGGTGATATATATTTTCCAAAAAACAAGTTAACAACCACTAAAATTGGTGATGCTTCTTACTTATTGTGTTTGCTCCATCCAGTGAGTATTTAAATTAATGTTGAACTCTCTGTACTACTACATAAAGTACACACATGAAAATTTGTCAGGAACAGTCAGTCCTGTAAGAGTTTTGCTCTTTGCACAGGTGCCTGATTCAGTTTTTGCTTGATTCTTTCAAGGTCAGAAACGCTCAAGAGGCTTAAGAATTCTAGAGAGCTGTATTTTATCACTTCTAATATTCCTTCTGCCCTTTTTTAGATAATTACCAAAAGCATAAAGAATTTCAGCCATTCACTGAAAAATACTGGTTCAAAGATCTAAGACTGAAATATCTCATTTCTGTATCAATATTGCATTACCAGTTACTGTGCTATATTATTGATAACTGTGACTAACTTCTTACAACTTCAACCCTATTTCATGAACTGACATGAAACAAATACAGCTAATTCAGGATATGTAATAAGAAAACCATTGTAGCAAACTATTAAACAGGGTTGTTCTTGAATAGACTTTTATTACTCACTCTGAAAAGCAAAAAAAGTAATCTTAGATATGGATTTGGATTTTCAAGATATAAAACAAACAAACAAACCACAACCAAATCCTGTAACTCACAAAAAGGAAAAGATGTAGGAGACAGAAAAAGTAAAGAATTTTTTGTTGGTTTTTGGAAGAGATTTTAAAAGTCTTTAATAGTTATTTTATTAAATGCTTAGTATTCCCTGTACTTTTTGATAAGAGCAATAGGACACCGGACTTCGCATCAGGATACTTGGTTTCTATTTTCTCAGCTGCTCCGAGACTGACCTTAGGCAAATCATTTCAATTCTCTTAAGTTTCACCTCTGCCTTTCATTCTTTCTTCTTGTTATCTCTGTAGATAATAAACTATTTATTCAGTGCAGCAACTGTATCTTCTTGAAAGTAAAATATCTGGAACTACAGATATTCAAGTCTGGTAAAAAGGTCTAGAATATTATACACCTAAGTATACAACTCTATTGCTTTCTTTAAATTTATTTTACATTAGCTTTGGTGCTTTAGACTCACAAACTTTCTTTTGTGAGATAAGGTCTTTTAATTTGAAAAACTGAAATTATTAAAAATGCATATTCATAAGGTACCAAATCTCTCATTTAAGTGTGTTTCATATTTGCAATATTAATTCAAAATGGAAGGGTGTCACCATTTGGTTAATCCCCACTCAAATACAAAATTGGTGACATAATTCCCTTGAGACACCAAGACATAAACATTGCACTGCAAATCCTAAGAGACTGAGGTACTGGTGAACTAAGAGTAAACATACCAAAGAGGGTTTGGCATGCTCTGTAATACAAAGTTGAAAGCCCCTGAAAGGTACTGGGTCAGAAAAATCCCAAACACCTAGATAAAACACACATGGAAAAATTCTTTTGCACCAATGTGATCTTTCTAGATTGATTTACTACTTAAAAATCAAGAAGTAATGCTTAAAAAAAGAAGCAGATGAAATCTTATAACAGCTGTAAGTAAGTGGGGTAGAATGAAGTGTGTAAGATTCTCATTCAAGAACTGTAGACTTGCTGCTGGGAGCATGGCCTGTAAATAACTGTGGTAACAAATAGCAACAAATAGCAGCTGTGGGTACACCAACTCTGGGAAAAAAAAATTACAAGGGCCACCAATTCTTCATGCTTTAGCGCGTAAGCTGATCATCAGCTGACATCCACAAGCAAAGTGCCTCATGGTGTCTTTTTACACAGTAAAGTAGATTATGAGCTTTTGTGACTTTGGAACAGCAACCACCATTGAGAACAGCCATTGATATAGTACAGGACTGATGAGACCATTGCTCCAATTCAAGATTACAGTACTTATAATACATGTTGCATCTTGCTTGCAAATTTAAGACTGACCAGATGCTAGGTTACCCACTGAAGCTAATTAAATGGTCTGTACTGAGAAAAATATTTTTAAAAAATGAAAATTCAAGGCATAAATAAAAATTTTATTTAATAGAAACACTTGGTTTTTAAACTCTTACAGGACACATTCAGCCAACCAGGATAACATCGGGTAATTAACGAGATCATTAGAGGAGATTCTTCCTTTGCCTACAATCGTCAAAAAGTATGTTTCTTTGAGAAGAGTTGAAGTTATGTAAGTTTTCTCAGTCAAATTAGGAAGTGAGAACAAGATTTACCTTGAATAAATACAGTGAATGGGTGAGTTAGCTTTCTGTGGTAGAAACCAGAACTTTTTATCCTATCCACTGCAACAGCTGGTAGGGAAAAAAGAAAACCAAACCACAAACAAAAAAGTGAAAAGGTCGAGTGTTGCTTTTGCTCAGGCCTACTTTCTAGCTAAAAATTCTTACCACTTCAGTGCCTTGTTTACATAAGCAAAGAACACTGTAGCTCCAGAGTCTTACTACCACTGAAGTAAAAAGACTAGGCTTCCTACAAAGTTGGGTAAAAAACTGGAAAGCCCTGAGTAGTGTCAGGCTGGTTTTCACAACTGCATTTTGAATACAATTACCTACAGCAATTCTCACAGGAGTCAAAATTTAGCATTCATTTTGAGAAGGAGAAAGAAAAAAAAAAAAAAAAGCCCCAAACAAATCACAGGGTAGCAGCAGTGGAAGTCAGTGATTATGACAGACTGAGTATGACAACTCCAACATCACCCTAATAGGCACTTGATGAAGCAAAAGAAAACATAAGCATATAATGTAGTTAGAACAATATGCAAAAAAACCCCAAAATAATAATTAAAAGATAGGCTTAAGTACTGCATACATATATTAGGTATATTTGCAGATATCCAGTGCCTTCCATTAACTTAATTGTTAATCACTTGGATTTAAAGCCCTCTAAAGAATTGGACATTATGCTGTATGTCATAAATTCATAGTGTAATTCTCCTGTGAATTTGATTTATAGTGATGCAAAATGCACATAGTTGAGAACCGAATGAGACCTTGTTATATACAGATAAGAAAAGCACTGTCAAGCTTTTCCAACCAGAAATTAGGTCAATGTAAGAAACATTCCAGGAGTCTGCCACCCTAAGTGAAACCATGAATGTCATAAAAGGGAAGCTATAAATTATTTTAGAAAACAACTGGTTAATGGCATGAACTACTCTTAAAACTCAAGAATTAGATTTTTACCCAAATTTATTTTTTAATCTCTAAGAATAGATTAGATAAAGTAGATGACCAATTTATTTTACCTGCTTGTATGTCTCTCTCTGTCCAAATCAAGACTCATGGGTCCAGAAGAAAAGAATAAACAGAAGAACTTAATTGTATGGCCCAGTGAGAAGGAAATAACTGCAGAAGGCTGGGCAGGAATGTCTTTGGTCTCCTTTTTCTATGAACTAGTTCTGTTCTTCTTCTTTGTTATTATTTTTATCATTAGCACAAAGAACATTGTGACCACAGGAAAAAGACTTTATTAAAAAAACCCTTTTTGGG